CCATGACGATTTCTCCAAATGCTTCAAATATCCACTGTTCAGCCATGGTAATAGAGCATGAACTAGAGGCAGTTAGTAGACAGTTATTAATATATATGATAATATGTAAATGTTGACATATATAATGGACGTAGCGTATATGTCAATATCTATGTATGTAACCAAAACTTCTCCGCAATCTATTGAATGGCACCACAAACAAAAATCTATAAACAATTTCACACTTTGGGTATTCAAGATTCAGACAATTAGAAAAACAATTGTGGTATGTGCAACAGCCATTTCTTTATTATAACAGAACACAATTTTAAATAAAAGTACTCTCCTTACAACAAGAACACAACTTTCACTAGGACTGTATGTGAGGGCTTGATTATATCTTTATTGATGTAATTTTTAAATGTAGTACTGAGAACTGGAGTTTTAAAAAACTATTTTATTTTCAATAAACGATACCACTTTTAATATATAAAAACATTACAGTTTATATCAGTAAACTTTATGAAAATTTTGATGTAATGAGTTCTGTATCACTAGAGAGCACAATCTGAACACTTTCCTCGTGCAGTACTTCCCAGAAAATAATTCTTTTTTAAAAAATGTTCACTTTTCTAAATTTTTTTTCATTGAGGTATGAATACCACTATTAGTAATTACTAGCACAAACAGCTGCCTGTAGGGCGGCGTTTCTACTATTGTATACAAATATGTGTGTGTGAGTTATTTCATGCATGTATGAAGCTTTAGACAAAATTATTCTTGGGTGTTGTATAACACAAACAAATCAGTTAATGAGAACAAAACATTTGAATGAAACTTGAATGAGAATAAATGACTTTATTTGGTGGTTAAGAGTTTGACATATAAAGTTAACTGTGTCTATTATCTTGTGAAGCATTATTTGGAGATACAGAGAACCTGTTATTTTCATTAACGTGGATGCCCCCCAGTAGCACAGCGGTATGTCTGCGGACTTCTAACGCTAGAAACCGGGTTTCGATACTCGTGGTGGGCAGAGCACAGATAGCCCTTGTGCATAATTAAAAACGAACGAACATTAACGTGGAAAAGAGAATATTTCAGTTTCAACATTGAAATTTTTGACAGGTAGTGAATTTTTATGGAAAAGATAAGAGTAAGGTTAGACACACTCTACTTTAGAGATAAAGCCCAATTTGACCTGTTCTTTTGCTAATAGTAGCTAAGAACATTTTAACTGAATCAAATTGAATTATCTGTGAGTAGATGAAATTATCCATATGAAGTAAAATTCACAAACAATAACGGGCATCATGCTGAAGTTAAAGTTGGTGTATCCAATAGTTTGAAATATTCTCAGAAGCACAACGTTTTTGAATATTATTATAGTATTTCGGTACATGGTGCATTTAGAATGCACGGAAGTACTGATTGTGCATGTATACATGAAGGCAACAAGTAACACTCTAGTGTTGTGATTTTGTAGTTGCCTTTCTCTGGACTAAACTTGTATCTGAAAGGAGTCATGAAAGAAATTAAATGTTGGTGTTAACTGATTTCCATGGTCAGAGAATAGATGATAAAACCTGCAAGGTGGCCAAAGTATTTTGGTCACTCGTGTGAGTATGAGTGTTCAGTTTCAGTCTCATTTCTTTACTATTGGGTCTTTTTGTATAACAACCTAACAGTAGTGAAAGGAATGTGGTTAAGTTTAAGGATAACTGGGAGTCATTGCATGGCATTGATGACCATGAAGTGCACAGATATATGTAGATCAAGCATAAAAACTAATGAATTTTGGCATGACTAAACCAGCTACAGTGAAGGGGATACATATTGTAAAGGTGGTATACACACATGCGTAAATACAAGCATACAGAAATTTTACTTGACCATGCCAATTGTATTAGTACTCTGCTCCTAAAGGAAATTTTGTGAAAGAGAATTGTTGTAACCATACCATTAGAACTTTGAACAAGTTTTCTTACCCATCAGAATCCATTTGGTCCTTAATTTTCAAATCTGAGCTTTATTTAAATCCAAATTCTTGGTATACTTTGTTTTCAACTAGCCAGTTGTGAGCTTTCACTTTGAGTTACAAAAACCTAAAAAAATCATCTACACGACAATGGAAAGAGCCTTCAGCAAGAAATTTCTCTTCAGTAATTTCAAGAACACCCACGAGTACTACACAGTACTGGTGACTTCAGGGTCTGGCCTCACCTAAACTTGACAGAACAAACGGATGAAGATGCAATACTTAATAGAGCATCAGATGTACAGGAACTGACTGAAGCCACCAATGGGCTGGCCATGAAATCCCTATAACCAATAAGGCCAACCATTATCCAGCCAACTCCAATCAAACCATGAAGCAAAGATCCAGCCAAATAGAGAGACACTAAGCCTACCAGTGATCCAGCCAGTAGTACCAACACTGTAACCAATTCTCCTAAAAATGGATACCAAAACTTGAGTGAAGTTGAAGCATTGGGAAATCTTCCAGTGACTTCAACTTGTTTTGAGATGTTTCTTGGAGAATCATCGATGTCATCCAATGTGCTTGCTCTGCCAAGGGGACAACCGCATTGCCTGGCTAAGGAGGACTTTCCAGAATTGAAATCCACAAGGAAAACAAAACAAAAAAGGGTCTACCTCCAAACACCACTCCGGGGGCAATGGTGATCACAACCATACCAGCAATGGAGGTGAGTATGACTGAAGCCAATATCAATGTAAGGACATCAACAACAATTTCCAAGACTCCAAGGACCCAAATACTGTGAACAAAGATGTGTTTGTAGTTAAGCACAGAGCAACACAATGTGATATTGTGCTATGGCCACAACAGATATCGAAACCAGGTTTTTAGCTTATAAGTCTGCAGACATACTACTAAACCACTGTAAGGCATGTGGAAGAAGTAGTAAAGGAGTGACTCACGCTTCAGCAGATCATGGCTCTAATGTGTCACTGTGAAGAACAAGCTGCCAGGTGGCTAAGCACCTGGGCGTTCTACAACCATGAAGAAGATCATCTGCTAAATGATCGAAAATTTCTTTTGCTGTTGAAGGAAGAAGTTTCCTTTCTCTGAGAGGGTCTGGAAAGAACTCTAGAACTTTTGCAAGAGCCTGTGAGATTATCCATCACACATAACAGCAGTTCAAAAGGACAGCAATAAAACCATAAATTTAAAAGAAAGCGGGCATGAAAAGATTAGAAACTGAAGTTGTTTGGAGAACTATTTTGGAATTGTCTCTTAAAATCTGTAGTAATTATAGGTAAACAAATTATATTATTTATTTTATTCTGTCTTTTTCAACTTTCCATTACACTGTACATTGATGAATTTGCTATAATTAGTGTTAGGGTGGAGAAAGCGAGAAATAGAATATTGTTACAACAGCGGAAGTCACACGACGCTGGGAGCATGCGCGCTGGAGTTTCTCGAAGGATCACGAAGGCCCGAGTGCATTCAAGACGCCCTCTTTTTTAGTATATAAGCCTGACGAGAAAAACCAGCGCGATTGAAGAGATAGATAATTGAGTCAAGCCAACAGTAGGCACCGTAGGTAAAGTGTGTGAATCACTGTGATTTATAGCGTGTGTTATAAACGTTGTTAAGTTTAAAGTGACTGTGGAAATTCTGTGCATTACAAAGTTGTATCGAGAAAGAATAAACTAATTTTAATCAAGAAGGGACTTGTATCACTGAAGTTCCTCGGAAAGAATTTATACGGAAATTAACAAACAAGCAGATACGCAACAATATAAAGTTTTACCAAACATATTTATTTTTAATTTTTAAAGAGATTTTAGAGGCTATGCAAATTGAATAAGATAAAAAGAAGTATTTTCATTCTTAACATGAAAATCACTTTTCACTAAGACCAACTCACCAAAGGCTTCGTAAATTTACAAACAAATTTTTGTTAAAAATACATTACTAAAAAATCGGTTCTTTTTTGCATTACAAACTTATAATTTTTAATAAAAGCTTTCCAAATTTCACGAAGGTACACTTAGTACATTTAGAGTTATAATATGTATAGTTTTATGGTTACATGGTGGTAACCAGGTGAGTCGCATCATTTAATTTTGCACAGAAAAAGTCTTTTTGTATATATTGGAATAAAAATGAAAAGTACTTCCACAAGTAAAGCATTACCAATTTATAGTTACATTTTCAATAATAGGAAAGTCGAAGGTAGAATAATAAATAGTTTGACCAAACATATCGCACAATTTTATCTTTTACACCTGAGGATAGTTGGGAGACTTTGGAAGTTCGATTTAATTTATATTTATTTCAGGAGTTTGAGAATATGTCGAATATATAATTTTTGATTTGGTTATTTTGTTGTTGTTGTGCTTCAAGACATATAACGAACTTTAGAAACAAAACTGTGATTATAAGTTTTTTTGTTTTTTTGCTTGAACAACTTATGGTGAGAAAGTAGCTTCAAATTTGAGTCCGAATGCTCCACTCGATATGTAATAGAACAAAGCCTACCAGTGGCAAGTCTAAAGACTTGTAACGCCAATTGTCTAGCTTTGCATTTCACAACAAAAGAACAGAAAAAAGTATAGTCGAGTGCTTTTGTTGATTGTCACGAGTTTAACATATTGTGCTATCGTTTTATCTTTATGAACTGTTTTCTCCATCTAAAGATAATCACTGTTGAAAATGCAGACTAGATTTTTCAAAGAGGTACCTAAAGATTGCTCTTATTTGAGGTTTGTAGTCTGTATTCTGGATCTGTGCAAAATCATTGATCTGATTATAATGACAGCTTAAGCTTAATCGTAATCATTAAAATATAAAAAAGGTTAATAATCGTAATGACCTCAAATACAGTTTTTCTAATAGAACAATATCTAGAGTGATAACATGATAATTTTCGTAACAGTCATGTACACATACGTTTAATTCAATGCTTTTCATATAAATCACTTCTGACAATAGAAAAGGTTTAGTTGTTATCTTGTTTCAGCCGACGAAATATGGCAAGAAATGAGACTGATCAGAGTAGACGTAAGTATTATTAACTTCCATTGTTTTAAGTTAATTATTCAATGGGTCACTATTATTTTTCTTCAGGCTTACCCAAAGTCTATGAAATAGAAATCTAGAGCTGAGGAGGCCAAGTGCCTAACATTTTATTAAATATATATTGTATATTAGAGAACAAAATGTCACTATAAAATTCGACGATAACCAGAGTCAGATGATCTTGGACGACAAGGTGAAAGGTTAGCCACGCCCATCACTTCCAGATCCATTTAATTTTGGATAGTTAGCCACAAATCCTATCTTTCTCTGTGAAGATTAGTTTAATCTTATGCTCCTCATCAGAACTGAATTAAGGGCCCGGTTAAGTATTTTAGGGGGACCTTCATAATCGAACTTCATAAATAAGTCAAATGCAGTTCAGTACTACTTATTAACTGCAGTTTGAACAATACACAAACACAGGTGATGGGTAGGTAACATACAACATACTAGTTTCAGTATCTATAATAAATATTAAGCAAAGACAACGATTTTTTTATGATATATATATATATATATATATATACAAAAGCGTATTTCTTGTTTACTGGCCAAGCAAACATTTGCCAAAGAACAAGACGTAAGAACATGTTAATAAAAAACTACAAAATAATAGCCATATATGAGACGCTAAAAATTACTGTTGTTGTAATGACAAAATTTCAAGTACGTTTTCAATAAAACATCCAGTTTCTGATCAATTTTATTTTGTTTTTCTCTTAGTTAGGACCCCCTTCAATTCGGAGGAACAGGGGGATTGTTTTGGAATTTCGCGCAAAGCTACACGAGGGCTATCTGCGCTAGCCGTCCCTAATTTAGCAGTGTAAGACTAGAGGGAAGGCAGCTAGTCATCACCACCCACCGCCAACTCTTGGGCTACTCTTTTACCAACGAAT